AGAACATTTAATTCTACTGGAATGTAGTTAAAAAGTTCAGTGCTCCATACAAGAAAAATAAAACTTTAAACACTAAGCTCATGTTTCACTTACAAAATGACATGCTCCACTTTAGTAAAGGATTTTACAGCATAATTCCCCAGAAACACTGGGAGACGGTAGTAATTTTCCATAGCCCAGAGAGGTAAATGGCAGCTGTGCACTGCCAGTGTCAAGGGCATTTTGTACACCACTCCCAGGTCTGGTGCCCTACTTGCACCCCCTCATTGTGCTACTGCTGTAGACAGCATTTACCATACCCTTTTAGATGCCTATAGCCATGCAGATACCATTTACCTGGAGATGGACTGGCCACTGGAAATAAGTGGTACAGAAGACTGGCTGGTTAAGCTGGACAACAGGCTGGAAAAGGTTCAGTTGATATATTTGCAGGGCATGCATTTAAAGCACAATATATATTTCTTTTAGTCTGCGGGTTGTCTGCCTATTAGCATTTGTTTCCCTTGTTTAATTATGTGGTGAGCACTTCTGGAGAGAGACTGTACAGGATGCCCATTTTGATTGTGGCCTCTTGGGTATAACCATGATAGAATATTCTCTCTGGACCAGCTCTTCTATAACTGGATAAAAAAATACACTATTAATTTTGTTGTTAAACAGCAAAGACATTTATTATAACATTTTTTTAAAAAGCTTGGGAATCCAGACTACACATGACAGTGAGAAAATACTGTACACTACATATGGAGAATATCAGATCACCCCAGCTATTACTGCAATTCATCTGGCATGCTTTCATCTCTTGTATGTCTACACTCACAGATACTTTTCAGTCAAGTTCCAGACTAAGGAACCAAAAACAGATTATTTTTGCTGGAAAGTATGTCCCCAGGGCTCTAATTTCCAAGTCTTACCCACCATGTGGATTAATACCAGCTGCACTTCAGACCTTCATCATTCTGCAAACCTAATCCTTCATATTCACAGTCACTCTGTGAAATGATTCAATCTGGTCTCTTAATCACTCATCTGATTCTTACCTCTGTAACTACAGGTACCAAGACAACATCAATGAGTTGTTTGTAAATTAGTAGTGCTTCTGATTTGGGGGACTTTAAAATGGTCTTCCCATGTATTTTGTGCCAGCCAATCACCCTGTTTTTATTCAAAATCCTCCCTAAAAAGCTTCACAGAAAAATACATTTAAGGTGCCAATAATTTAAATAACCTGCAACTGATCAATCTGACCCTTAATTACAGTGCCACAAACCAGAGTTTTCTCCCCATTCTCACAACACAGCACTCAGACTAATTTTAAATAAGATTGTGCCCAGTTGTGGGTGCGTCTACCAAGGGTGATGAAAGAGGGGACAAATTGCTGGCCCTCGTGATTGTGAGATACTTGTGTAGAAGGACTAAACGAGAAATTGTATATGTGGTGGGCTTAAGTGCCAATTTAAAAATAGGACAGAAGGGTATTTGGCATAGAGGATGTAGAAAGAAGAGGGTAGTCCAAAAGGCTAAAGTAGTCAAAAGGAACTGAAAAAAAAGAAAGGATACTTGGGAACAAGAGAATTAAGTTAAATGAGATCTTAAAGGTAATACAATATCTGACATGATGGCTCATCCTCTGTATTTGGGAGGGCACAACATCCAGTGTTTTCAAATGCTGTTATCTTTGATCCCCCATATGTTACCTAGATTAGTTGCAGTTTACAGAAATCTAGCAAGGATAAAGTATAATAAACCAATAGTCAAATGAATGAGGCATATAGCAAGACAATATTTTCTCTTGTAAGACTCATTACAGCAAGGAAGAGAATGTAAACCAATTTGTTTCATTCTTTTTTAGGATGAGGGATTGTTTTTTTTCATCCTTTGGATGAGAGATTTATCAATTTTTGCATCTTATGAAGCTGTGCACTTAAAAAAATAATAAAGAGGGACATCACAAGAATTAATTTATCTTATTTTCCAGAAATTTACTGTTCACCTGAGAAACTTGTTTGAATTTTGACAGCTGTTACTGCCTAGTCAGAAGACCATTATCAGAATTATTTTTGTTTGTAGGAAAGTCTGAAAATGGGCTCAAAATCAATACAGGAGGTGATGAGTGTGTTGTTTTTTGTTCTCTATTGAATTTTCCAGGTTTTTTTCTTCCTCCTCTTTCTTCCTTTTGTCTTTCTTTCTTTTGCTTTGTTTCTCTTTCTCACTTTCTTTGTGGGTGGTCAGGGGTGAGGCTACTAGGAAATGGTAGTTTATTGTGATGCTTGAATTAGGCCCATGGGGAAACTTAGGTTAGTGCAGAATAAAACTGACAAAGTATCAAGACTTTGCCTCATTGTTTACTTTAGTCATTTGAATATAGTGTCTCTCTTTGAAATAAATACATTAATGTATTTCTGTTCTTAAAATCAGAAAAGTTAAAACAATTATAGAGCCTAAAAATACTGAATCTGACTAATTAATTGCTTTGACTTTCAAAAACAAGGATTTATTAAAATATAGATATATGTGGTGCTATATGTTACATGTCACCATTTTGATAATCAAAGGTCAAAACTATACTGTATCATTTTATTAAAGGAGTGAATGTCAGTGACAGGAAAGCAAGTTTTCAAATTGCTAGAATAAAGAGGGAACCATTCTAGTGAAATTAATATTTAGTCAGAGTATGTGTTTAGAAATACAACACTACAGTCCTACTTCACATTAAAATATTCAAACTATTTGGTGCCTTGGCTCAATCGCTATGCTACTCAAATCTTTTAAAGCTACTTTATAGTTAGGTTCATCCATATATCAATATAGATGAAGACTAGGAATTAAGCCATTGCATTATACAGAAGTAGAAATGTGACCAATCTTCCCATTTTCTTTGCCCTACATCATTTCTGCATGCTGCCTGCTTATCAAAAATTGAAAGTTAGCAGCAATGAAATCCTAGCTAGTTAATAGGCAGTCCACTGATATTTATAGCACAGTGGATTTATATATATCTCTGTATATATATATCTAGTTGGTTAGGATGGATGTCTGCTGGTTCCTGTCAAATTCTGTAATAATTGAGAGCTGCATTTTAGTTTGAAAATTCATTCAAATCATTTTGATATGTTCATTTGGTGCTTTTTAAAGAGAAAGAAAGAAAAGAAGGCCTCCCACACTGACACAGGAGTCATAGACATACTGATACAGAAGCCCAAAACAAGATAAGTTATTAACCAGAAAACAATGCAATTAGGAGTATGGACGGTGACCACAAAAAATCTTCCAGAAAGATTTATGGGTTTGACTGTCAAAAGAAACTTGCATGGACTCAGAGACTAAAGTTTAGAAAGGGTTGTGTATGAATAGACCTGTTCTCTACAACATTTAAAGCCTGCTCTGAATCCACAGGACAAGCATAGTTTTTTGTTTCCATAAATTCACACAGTTAGAAGCCCACCCCGAAGTGGAAGAAATAGTTATAATCAGGATATGGTATGTCAGGGGTGGCCAACCAGCAGCTCCAGTGACACATGCAGCTCTTCAGAAGTTAATATGTGTCTCCTTGAATCTTTGCACAAGCACACAGTGACCAGCTTCCATAGCTATTACCTCACATCATTACATATTACTGTGGCTCTTTGGCAATGCATATTGCTATATTCTGGCTCCTTCACGGACTCAGGTTGGCCATCCCTGTTGGCCATCCCTGTGGTATGTGATTTCAGAGTTCTTATGTAGAGCCAAACATAGAGGAAAGATAAGATTAGATGACGAATGGATAAAAAAAAAAGTCATCTGGCTTTCCAGATAAAACAAAAGTAATTGAGGATACATGCAAAATCTAATGCAATATAAAAGTGAAAGGAAGTGCATGTTTCCTACTGTTTTCACTACACCTCTTCTTAACCCAATCAATCTTACAAAATGATAATCTTATTCATGCTGCTTATGCCATAAAGTACCTTACAGAATAAATATACTGAAGAAGAACTTTTGAATTTCTAACTTTCTTTTTCAAAGCTGAGATGATCAAAAAATAGTTATGGAAGATAAGTATCCAAATCACAAAATTTACAATTCAATTGGAACTATATAATCAATCCTTTACCAAACATTTAAGTTATATTTTGAAAATTCCACAAGAATATTTGAAAGCACATGCAAAGTAGAACATTAATAGCAAATGGCAATCAGCACCTTCGATGTTATAGCTAACTACTATTTTATTTCCCACTAATATTGAGTGTTTACAAATATTTTTCTTCACAAAACTAATACATATGAATAGTTCCATAGTAGATGAAGTCAATTATTCACCTAGTTCTTTCTTAACATTCACTGATCTGTGAGCAATGTATTATTATGACAGCATTGTATCATTGACCAAATACACTATTATAGCTTACTTCCATATTTTCAGGGCAGATATGAAAATTTTATACCCAATGTCAAACCAGTAGCTTATCACAACCAAGACAAAGCTGTAACATTATATAAATGGATTAAAATATAGTTTCTCAGATAGCACATTCTGTAGTATGCCAAACATGGTGAATACATATAAGGATAAAGGTATTTGTGATCCCCATAACATACACTTTATATAAGCAGGTAGATCAACAGGAGTCCTCAGTAGAAAACAGTGGCAATGTGTAGAGGGGTGCATGTGCACCCCCTGAGAGCACTGGTGCACCCACTGACAGGCTGCGCTCCCCGCTTAGGCAACGGGAAGTGGGAACAGGTGGGAGCGGAGAGCAAGCCAGGAAGTGGAATTTCTGGGAGCACCACAGCCGCTACTTCTGGGAGCACTGCAGCCGCTTCCTGGTCACAGTGGCTGCAGGGGGAACACCCCCGGTTGATAAGTTTGTGGGGACTCCCCTTGGTCACTGACTGGTCGCTGGGAGGGCACAGGGCATGTACCCCCCCTGACTCCGGTGGCACCAGTCACCCATGGAGGAAAACATACTGGTTCTTTCTTTTTAAAAAACCTTAAATTAGAAACATGAACTTACATTTAGTAATTTTCAGGACTCGCTTTACTTCTCCACTTCCTGATCCTCCACAACCATCCTCATCATCACAGTCTCCACTGATTTGCTCATCCTTGCTTCCACCACTGCCCACTTGTAGGAAATCCCACCTCTCATACTTAGGGAGAGATTTCCCTTGCAACAGCTGAAAGCACAAAATATAGCATGACAGTTTTCAACAGAGATAAGAAAGCTTCAAGAAGTTCACCCATCAGTTAGAATGAGCACCCAAAGCTTTACATGAGTCTCTAATACTTATCTAAACTGCTACGGTAGTTTGGAAAACAGACTATACACAGGCCTTCCAGTAAATGTTATTTTATCTTGGTGGGTAACAGCCAGCCTCTCAAAGGTTAGATGGTGCTTGCATTTTTCATACTGATTTCTGTTAGCAAATGTCATGGTTCACAGAAATTAATACTAAAAAAATACCCTATCATTGTCTAGAGGATTGAGTTAAAACCTTGATCTGAACTGCTGAACAACTAAGGTAGAGCAAATCACTTCTATGTTCAAGGTGTTTCCATACTGGCTCCACAGCACTCCTGAATGTGCAGGTACACAGCTTTGTCCCACACATTTGCCTGTGACTCTACATCTTCCACTTCCAATGTGTCAGACAGCAGTAGTTGCAGACACACTCTAGGCATCTTCATTGCCTCAAATGAATTGAAACCAAGCATAGGAGAGCAAAAGCATACTATCTGCCATGGAAATTCCAGAGGCAAGTCAAGAAGATGTTTTTATGATTCCAAGAGTTCCTTAAACGTTCATATAGGATTATTATATCAGTTTTAGGGCTTATTACATCTCGTCTGAAAGACAGCATCTCTAAAAACTCAGTTCTCTATCACATCACACTGAGGCACTAAACATTTTTTGACTCGGAGTAAGCAATATCTCCACGTACTGACTTATCATAAACATAGCCGGCTGTAGTCACTCAATTATGGCTGCATCCACATTCAAATAATCTGGGAGAATTCTTCCAAGTGTGTTCTCCTGATGCAGAAACTTACCCAAAATTGCATATATGGACATTCAAATATTAAGGACCTGAAGAGCAGAGAACAGTACTGACACTGGGCAGCCAGGGAAACCTCTGTGTGCACATTTCAGCATTCTCTGTAGGCCCCCTTAGTCAGCCTGGTGACAGATGACATCAGTTCATAGGGTAGCCCTAATTGACTGCCCCAGACTACTCGTGATCAACCTGTGTTGCCCTGCAGCACAATGTGGAGATTGTGAAAGGGATGTCTTCTCCCTGATGAAGCTGCAATTTCCAGAATGTGACACCCTGTCTCTCCAAGGGAAAAAGGTTGTAGGGGCAGGTGGTGATGATGGAAGACTATGTTCTCTTCTGAGAGATGCCCTGGCATGTACAGACATTTGCTTTCCCAGGAGAAACTCTCCTGGGAGTGATTTAACCCTCTTTCTCCTGGAGAAGCCATTTTTAGTTTGGGAAAAAAGTCTCAACATATGTACACTTACGATTTTCCTGGAAGAGCAGTAACTCTCCCAGGAAAAAAATGAATGTCTCTACAAGGCAATCTCATATTGTATTGGCTAACCTCTGCCTAGTTTGAGACATCTCATAAGATCACAGCTTACAATGGCGTGTCTTCTTCTCTTACACTGCCAATTTGACATCAAAAAACAATATCCTACAACCCTTTGTACCCATGCTAGTATGGATTTAAAAAAATGAAAGAACACTTAATTCTTTTTTAATTTTTTTTCTCTTCATTCTATTATCATAATTATACAAATAAAATACTGTCCTAGATATAAGCACACTAGTGGTTGTCTGCAAAGCATGGGTCAGTGGACCCATCTACATGTGCATTAACGTGCTTTAGTTAATGCATGTTAAATCTTGTACCTCCATTGTGAGGTACTAGGAAAATCCACATTAGCCTGTCTTAAGGTACATTAACTAAACAGCATGGTTTTTAAGCGATGCATAATGCTCATTAGCCTATTTAATGACCATTTACTAAATAGTTCATTTTTGGGGGGGTGATGCTTCATGCGCATTAAAATAGGCTAATGCTCATTAATGGGCATATGTAGAAGTGCCCACTTAGTACTAATAAAAAGTTATTTATTCAATGTACATTAAGGTCTGTGAGATTTTTCAAAGCTTGTCTGATTCACTCAAAGGATTAGAGGTTTTTAGAATGTTTAGTTTATATTTTAAAACTGCTTCAGTACAAAATAAAGCTGTAATTTAAGAAGATGCAGAAAATAGAGATGATTTTATTTTAGAGACGTAATGTATGGTCCAGTTGGACAAGACTGAAGTACACATGCTATCTTCATACTGTGATAGTCATAAAGAAAGGTAATGCCATAAAGTGCTTCATTTTGTAACCCAGAAATTAAGCAATAGTAACTGACATCTTTCAAGAGTTGGCCTAAAACCAGGACTCCTGGTTCATGGGATTTAAGTTTGGTTTCAGTCTCAGTTAGAATGAACCAAAACATCTGGAATTTTCTGTGAGCTGGAATTTTTCCTAGACCCTACAAAAGCTCAGTTGAATTGAGGTCCTTGTCAGTTTTGCTTCTTACAACCACACTGAAATTGACAGGAAAGTCAGTTTCACTAAGCAGCTGCAAGGGGTACAGCTTCCAGTATTCTTAGGTGCAGGCTAGACCAGCAGGAATACAGCCTGGGTTCCACAAGACCGTTTCAATGGATTTAGTGGAAGTTCATAAAACCAAAGTGTTCTTCATAAAACATTTAGGCTTAACTAACATTTTAAGATTAACTTTATTTTCTTTGAAAACTTTTAAGTAGTTCTAATCTTCTTTTCTTTAGTATATCATTTTATAAAGTTTAGTTTATAAACATTTAAATGTAAACATCATATAATGTTTGTACTATGTGAAAATTTTCAGTCAAAAGGCACAATCCCTTCCTCCCCAGTCCCCTCAAAAATGAAAATCAATATGAATTTCTTCCCCCGATTTGTGTAGATTTAGCCAAATTGCTTATTTCCAAAGTAAGATGGAGAGGGAAGGGGAGGAAAATTAATCATTTTCATGGTTTCAAAATTAAAGTTTCAGTTTTCTGATTTAAAACTTTCCATTTCAAATTGTTCTTTAGATGTTATATTAATACATAATCTAAAAATATGATTTTAAAAGTTACAGTTCTAATATTTATACTGGGCAAGATAAATGAAACGGATGAAATGGGATTCCATTAAGAATAGCAGTAAAACAGGATAATAAATTAATAGTAATCAAAATAAAGCTTATCAAATTTACCTTCTTAAAATCTAATGTATTTTAGAAGTTTTTTTTTATTGTAACTTTGGTTGATAAAGCCATTATAACTAGAATTCTATAAGTATTTGGCTTCTCTTTAGACAACAAAGTACTTAAGAAATTATGATGAAACAGAATAAACATGGCATACATTAAATGCATTTAAAGCTATCCAAACTAACACAAGTATAATTGTGGGAAATCAGCTTTCAGTACGTACTTTTCTAATGTGGGCCAACAGGAATCAGTTTTTGTCTCTTTACACTTTATCAACAACTTAGAAGAAAGCATTAAATCATTGGAGTTAAACTCTGTAGATGATGCAAAGGTTGTGAAAATAGCAAATGACAAAAACAAAAGATCATTTGTAAGCTGAGTGAAAAACCCCAGAAGTGCATTTCTATATATCCAAATCTAGAGTTCATAACCAAAAAAGCCACTTAAAGGATAAGAGACTATTCTGAGAAATAGGAACCCTCAAATAAACACCCCCAAAAATCCATAATCAAGATGGATAATCTGTTGAACATGATTTCTCAGTGTGATGTATGACAAAGAGGTCAAACTGGATAGCCTTGCACAAGTAAAGAGAGAAATATTGAAGAAGCAGCAGGTACCTATGTTACCTCTATTTGATGGTGTTGCTACCTCTACTGGATTATGGTCTGTAGTTCCGGTATTCACAGTTCAAGTATATTGAAAAAATGGAAAACGTTCAAGAAAAGAGCCATGACAATGATTCAAGGACTGGAAAACTCTTCTTAGAATGAAAGATTCAAATTCAATCTATTCAGTTTACCAAAGTGAAGGTCAAGGAGTGATTTAATCAAATGAGAGAGAGAAATTTGATTTTAGAGGGCTCTTTAAGACAGCAGAAAAAGGCATAAGATCCAACGTCTGGTAAGTGAAGCTAGACAAATTTAGACAAGCAGTTTAACAGTGACAATAACTATCTACTGGAACAATTTACCAGTGGCTTCCCCATAAATGGAAATTTTTACAATCAAGATTTTTCTTCTTCTAAAAAGATATTCTCCAACTGAGGCACAGTATTGATTTTTAAGGAGGAATTAAGTTAGTGGAATTCAATAGCCTATGTGAAGCAGAAGGTCAGAAAAAAATATCAAAATTATCTTTTTTGGTTCTAAAATTCGAACCTGTTGAAGTAAATCATCATTTTAATGAAAATATTTATTTATTAAAGTCTAACTTTTCTTGCAGAAAATTACAACTGATTGACTCCCCAGTGAGCAAGGAACCTGAAGGAACCTGAAAAATGATCTGATGCCAGTTAGATTTCAATGATAAAAATTAAGAAAATTCCCATTTGCATTTAGGTTACTTATCTTCCATTTTATATCTCCCAAGAAAGAAAAATGACCATTATTATTTGTTTCATTCTTTTGCTGTAACATTCTATTATTCACTATACACTATCTTCAATTGCTTGATAGACTTATGATATATTCTTAACTTAATTTACCTGCAAATTCTTATTCTTAATTTTATTTAGTAGTTGCTAACACCACCCTATGACTCCATCAGTGAATCCAGTTTACCTAATTAAACCAACAGGTATGTAGCCCTTCAATTGTAAACATGTCTGTTATGAAGTCAATATATCCAAACCCTATAGTAACCCCCCCTAAAGAATCATGCTCCTTAAAGGATAGGAGACTATCCTGAAAAATATATACTCTGAAAATATATATTTGGGGAAATATATATATCCACACAAGAACGATGAGCTTTACGAATGGAGTACCTCAAAACTTCACATGGTACTATTGGGCTATTAATGTCAGTAATATTTATATTAGCCGCTCTTGTTATATTAACCAGGATCTGAAATACTTAGTTAAAAAATAAGCT